GAGAGAGAGAGAGAGAGAGAGAGAGAGAGAGAGAGAGAGAGAGAGAGAGAGAGAGAGAGAGAGAGAGAGAGAGAGGGGTGTGTCGTGTGTGGTGTGTGTGTCGTGTGTGGGTCTGAGGAGCGAAGAGAGAAGAGGAGAGAGAGAGAGAGACGAGAGAGAAAGAGAAAGATGAGAGAGAGAGAGAGAGACCTGGAGAGAGAGGAGGAGAGAGGAGAGAGAGAGAGAGAGAGAGCAGAGGAGAGAGAGAGAGAGATGAGAGAGAGAGAGAGAGAGAGACGAGAGATATCATGAGAGAGAGAGACGAGGTGTGCGTGTTTGGGTTAGTTACAGTTGTGTGTGTGACAGAGAGGGATCAGGCATGCTCAGCGAAAAGCCGTTGGACCAACGTTGGATGGATTATCGTTCCAGATTCCCGATCATCCCGTTCTCTAACTTTTCTTACGTCTACAGTCCCCCTTCACCCCATCCCTTGATCTCAACAACCCAAAGTTTGATGTTGAAACACATTATAACACGAATTTTACACAATGCTGTCACACTATTTACAATTTCTATGTTCCGGATTCGGGTCGGATTTCGGATCGGATTTAGCGATACACATCGGATTCGGATTAAAAAATTGCCATCGGATTCGGATTCGGATGGGATTCAAAATAGCCATCGGATTCGGATTCGGATTCGGATTTTCAAAAATGCTGTCGGATCGGATTTTTGGTTCATGTCGGATCCGACGCACAGCACTACACGGAGTACGTTACATGCCCCTGTGGATTTAGATCATTATCAATGCGTACAGTACATACAATATCTACAGAAGAACATAGAAACATGTAGCATATCATACACTAACTGACTAAAAATAGCTTATTCTAAATTACGTAACTCTTACCCTGAGTTTCACTATGTCTTCTGGCGGTAACTCCTAATTTTACACAAGGTAGATATAGTGATCCGCTAGAGGGGGCGATGAGCGCTGACAACATGGCTAACAAAATTAAATTGAATTTATGAATTATGGATTGCAAAATTACATGCGTGCTTAGCTTGTTTTTATTGGATGAAAAATATTCATTAATAATGATTCTTTTTAAATAGCTGCGACCTACTTCAACGTAGGAAAAATCGTATTTATTTGTTCAATATTGTTCGCGTAGTTTCTCGTAAGCTAGAGTCGGGAGGCATGTTATTGAGATATGGTGATATGGTGGTGTTAGTCATGAGAGACGAGTAAATAGTTGGTGTTCTTAACCGCGTTAGTATTCCTACATATCTAATTGGCACAGGTTGCCGTCCCCACTTTGTTAAAGTGCTTTAAATAATATCAGCAGTTATAAATAACGAGATCTAAAGTAACATATTCCTATGCCAGTGAACTTGTGAGAATCGTGGCCAATGGCAATGGCAATAATAGCTTTACTCGAGCCTCACCTTAAATTATGTCCTACTACTACACAGTACACTGTAGGAGCCTACCTCAATTTGCTACACGTTAGCGATTCTATGTACTACCTACGTTTAACTATTTATATGAATAATTATTGTATTTTTTAAGGTTTTTGACGGCGTTAAATGCGAAATCTAGCATTCCAATACAAGCTACCTACGCAGATTCTTCATCCCCGACTGCAGTGATGTTTTCCAATTTCGATTGGCGGGTGTGGCTGCATGAGATGCTGCTGTGGGCCGGGCAAAACCCTTGGCAGTTTGTCTACTATGTGATTCTTTGTCTTTCGCCATTCTTTGCCATCAGTGCAGTGTTGTCGTGGCAGCTGGCGAAACACATCGATGCTCAGGAAAAGGACAAGAAGCGTAGGTCAAAAAGAAATGCCAACATAGCAAAGACAAGACGCCATAAGCAGGAGTGAGTGACAAGATCGATTACTCGATCGTATTCTTACAGACACCGTGCAGCGACTATGAATTCAGCATATGCTGGTGCCGTTGACCCGCACATACAAGGTCAATAGCACTGAAATCAGCAGCTCCTGATCATTTAACTAGCAAAGGATGGTGTGAAGTGACCGTGAATTCAGTGCTGGTACTGTTGACTAGCAGGAGGTGACAAGTGGATTCATTGGTTGCCAGTACCTTTCCCAGGTGGCTGATGTGAGTGCAGGCGACGTCAGCAGCAGGTGTGATGATGGTGAAACGCACTCAAATCCTCCTGCCATACCCTCCATTGCATCGCTGTTGGAAGACATGCTGCAATGCTAATGGAATGTTTGTGCGATATCATAACTTACAGCAATCAAACCAGCTCTGGCATTTTATAATCATGCTATTTACTGTTCGATTGTGCAAGGCGAATAAATCTGCCTTGGTCGATCTATAATAAATGTGTGATAATATTGTGATTTTTACCCAAGATAATTTGAGTGCTATTAAAGTTTTTTAAGTTAATTCACGCTGCTTGTCTTTTGTTCAAGGTGTTACGAGAGTGCATATACCACAAACATGCTGTTATAAGAAAATAACACGTTACTGAATTTGTGTGCATGTCTCAGTCCAAGATAGGTATGTTAATAAATAACTATTTAAATATTAAAAGAAGACAAAACATAGAAATAGGGGAAGACACGACAGCCTTATAATAGTCAAAAGTCGTAGTTCTTACGAGAAGTTGCGTTAGACCAACACCGGCAGCATTCTCTATGTCGTTTCCGAGTGCTATCTCAACCACAGCTTCTAGCTATCAATAATAATAATAATAATTTCTCTGTTAATACGCCAGTTGACACAATAGGTTTGCACTGTTAGATAGTGCCTGCCACGTACGAAATAAAACGTGGCCGTCACGATGCGGTAGTTCAGTACTAGTTCTTCACCAACGCGCCTAGTCACTGCAATCGCAGTTGACATACAAGTTGTCCCAGAGTTAGGAAATCTGATTTAAATATATACAAGCCAATTCGCACTGCCTTCCACTGAACTGTGATCTACTACAAATTAATTTTTAATTCCTATTACACATTCGTGACTTGGGGACTCCATGTACATACAAGCCACTGGATCCGTCTCTATTTGGTGCATCACTGTTGTCATTATGTATCTAAATAGCAATGAGAGTGATCTCTATCAAAAAAGTACTAAGTAGTAGCTGGCACACGTAGAACAACCGAGTAAAATCGGTACAAACTGAACAACACTGCAACTGAATTTCTACTCTAAAACCCTAAACGAGCAGTCGGTTGTATGACTGGTATACCAACACATTGATTTTTGCCTACAGAGGGCGCTCAGTAGACACACGCCTGCCACTGACCTACTATAAACAATATATATATAAAAAATAGTTTCTATAACTTACAGAATCCTTATCGAACTGGTTAAGTGTAATTAAGCAAAAACACACCTACGTACCAGTACCATTTACAATCTGTATTTCATGTACACTTTAATACATACACGTGCTGCGAAATGGGAATCTCGGAAGGAGCACAAAACTTACAGCAAGTTGACATGTCACAGATTCGCTAGGAAACTGACGTGAGTTAATTATTCGAAAAATTATTACTATATAGTACAGATTATTTCGACCTTCCGTAATCAAGAGCAGGTGTAAAGAAATGACAGCACGACTCATTTTAAAGGAAATATTGCTACACATTCATGAATATAAAGACTGCTATATATATGATATGAATACAGTACGTTGACATGGACATTATTTCTTTGCACTGATTCACTAGTGTGCAGCTACGCAATTAAAATGCTTCTTATCGGTTTAACAGCAATTTATTTAGTTTATTCCCTAACATGCAGCGGATCTAAAAGTACTTCACCATCTTGTGTGCTAGTGCATACATTGTTCTTACCACGCAGATGAGACGTGTCGGGATAAGACTACACACTAGCGGGGCGACGTAGAATATATATATGCAGGAATGAATACAAACCGGATATAAACAACTGAGGATATCAAGATAGTGAGATATCAAAACATTACCGATAACAAGGTATCAAGTACGAGGATGTTCATTATTGAAGGTCGGTGATAAGGAAAGTGACCGTGATAAGAGAAGTAGGTGTATTCAGGCAAAATAGGATTAGCAGCATATCATTTTGTATTGCTGACTGTATTGCATCAGCACATAACCATTATCATTCTAACTACCTATTTAGTACAGACAAAACCTTGCACATATCGTCTGTGCCATCAGTTCAGCTGGAAAATCTGCCGAGTGACACCTAATAATATTCACAAGATCATACAGGTTGACACGCCTCACTGACGACGTTGGCAGCAAAGCAGATTCATATTGTGTGATGCCATCAGTGATTCACGTGCATGTGTGCGTACAATGGTGCATGGCAGTGCCTCGCGTGGGAGCATTTGTAGCACGTGTATCATGCCACGCTGTGTTACAGCACGCCACGCAGCGTTACAGCACGATACATGGCGCTATAGCACGTCACGCCGCGCGGCGCTACAGCATGTGCATGGGTGACAGCACCACGTCTTCCAGGTCCAGGTTGTGACTGGGCGGCTCGGCGGCGGCAGCGGCCGCCTGCTCAGTCTCCGCCGCCTGCAGCGCCGCAGCAGCAGCGACCTTAGTGAGGGAGTCAACATCGTCGTCGACGGCGGCGGCGTCGGCGTGGCTGCGGCGCATGTGAACCTTGAGGTTTCCCTTCTGTGAGAACGCGCGGTCGCAGTGCGGGCACGCGTGCGGACGCTCCCCCGTGTGCTTCACCATGTGCATCTGCAGCGCGTTCTTCTGGTTGAAGGCCTTGCCGCAGGCGCCGCAGTGGAACGGCCGCTCCCCCGTGTGTATGCGCGCGTGCCGCTCCAGCAGACTCGGCTTAGCGAACGTCTTCTCGCAGCCGGAGCAGCGGTAGGGCGTGGCGCGGGCGGCGCGCTGCTGCTGCGAGCGCGGCGCGTGCGTCTGCTCGTGGTCCCGCAGGTGACACAGCCGCTTGAACGCCTTCCTGCACACGACGCACGCAAACATGCGCTCGGGCGTCACCGTCATCGCGGGGTCGTCGTGCGAGGGCGCCACGGTCAGCGTGATTGACTGCGGGTCGTCGTCGTCCTGCATGAGCTGACAGACGCCGGCGTCGAGGGCCTGCGGCGGCAGTTGCGACGACGCGTCCACGTACATCCCCGCGTCGCCCGTCTTCCCCCCGTCGAGCCCCCCCGCGGCGTCGGGCTCGCACTCGAGCGCCACCTGGTTGTCGTCGCCGGGCATCGTCGTCGACGGGTTGATGGTGAGGTTGACGTTGTCTACGCCCTGCTGCTGCAGCTGCTGTAGGAGGCTGGCGTCAATCTGCACGGTCTGCGTGAGGAGACTCGAGTCGAGCCCCATGATATGCAGGCCAGAACCGCCGAGGCCACCGCTCGCTGTAAGCTGCAGCTGGATGCCGTCGATGCCTTGCAGCACGTGCGCCGACACCCCCGTCTCCGTCGTCTTCCCCAACCCATCCGTGATCGACACCGACACCGGGATCGCGATGTTTCCCAGCATCTCCCCGCCGCCGCCGTCCATCGGCTGCTCCTGGGGGGCGCCACCGTCCTGCAGTTCTGCATCGGCGAGCGCAGGAGGCGCCGCCGGGGCAGCCCGATGTTTCTTCGCGTGCGACGCCTTGAAGTGTGAGGAGATGTGGCTTTTGCGGTGGCCCGAGGTCCGGAAGCGCTCTCCGCAGTGCGGGCATTTGAACGGTTTCGCGCCCGTGTGTAGCCGCATGTGAACCTTCAGACTTCCCTTCGTCGAAAACAGCGCGTTGCAGACGTGGCACTTGAAGTTCTTCTCGCCGCGATGCGTCTTCAGGTGGCTCTCTAACGTCGACTTGACGGTGAAGGTCTTCACGCACAGCGAGCACACGTACGGTTTCTCGCCGGTGTGGATGCGCACGTGTCTCACGAGGTCCGACGGCTTCTTGAAGCTTTTCGGACAGTTCTTGCACTGGTTGATGAACTGTGGAAGCGTGGACCCATCACCACCGTCGCCCTCGCCCCGTAGCTCGCTGATGCGATCCTTCTCCGCAGCCGACTCCAGCAGAACCTTCTCAGACGTGCTCAGCTGCTCATCCTGGATCAGTTCGGCCGCGTTCCGCTGCAGCTCCTCCTGGTGGCGGGCAACGGAAACAATAGAGCATAGTTAGTTGTCGAGATAGTGAAGAGGGCGAATTGCGAGAAAATCTCAATCAGATTAAACGGAATGAGATACGTGAAATTTGTATGTAATATGTAGGAATATTATATATAAATAAATGCTAACAATTGTTTCCAGGACTTCGGTGACGTAAGTTCATGCCGCGTTAAAAATGAACAGAAATTGAACCGAGATACAACCATCATTATCATATAATGTTCTATTCTCTCTCTCTCCTTCAACCAACGTAACCCTCTAACCCCTTTAACCAGCGTAACCTCTCCCTCCTTCCCCACCAACACCATTAACCGGTTACCTGCCTCTAACCTTCCTCCCCCTCCATCGCCACCCTGCGTGTGATGTTACCTGTTGGTACGATGACAGCTGGATGACTGCAGACTTGCGCTGCTGCTTCTGGCGGCTGTTCTCCGCCTCCTCCTCATCCTCCTCATGCGTGCGCATGTGTCGCTTGCACAGCAGTACTGTGCGGAACTGCTCCGCACACACGGGACACTTGAACAGCTTGAGGTCTTCATGAGTCGCCATGTGGCGCGTCAGCGAGCCGTTGGTGGTGAAGGTGGCGCGGCACTGCGGGCACGCGTAGTCGCGCGCGCCCGTGTGGATGCGCATGTGCGCTCTCAGCACGCTCGGCGACACAAACCACTTGTCGCAGTGCGGACACTTGAAGGGTTTCTCCCCCGTGTGACTGCGGAAATGCTCCTTCAGGTGACTCGACTTACTGAACGTCTTCTGACACACGGAGCACGCGAGAGGCTGCCGCTTGTCGCCGCCGACGACATCCTCCGTTGCCGACGGCGACGGCACGGCGGCGGACATGAGCGGGAGCGAGGAGAGAGGAACGATCTCGTATTTGTTCCCCGCTCCGTCGTCGAACTCCGCGTGCTGCTGCTGCTGCTGCGTTGCCGCGGCAACGTCGTCGTCGCCGTGATGCATCGCGACTTCGGCCGCCTCCACTTCCAGGATGTTCTGCATGCTCGTGCTCGCGAGCGACGCCCTCGTAACGTCCTGGTAGGTGGCGCCACCGTCCATCGATGTCGCGTAGTGGTACGGCGTCTGCTCTCCGAGCGTCGTCTGATCGAGCGAGATTGTCTGTGTGGCGATGAGCGTGGGTTCCTGCGCGGCGGCGGCGGCGGCGGCCGCGTCTAGCTGCTGCTGCAGGTTAGCGAGGTTGTACTGCACGTGTAGTCCGTCCGCGGCGTCTGTTGGCACCATCGCCTGCTGTGCGAGCACGTCGTCTGCGAGCGAGACGGACGCGTAGTCGCCCGCGGGGCTGTCGGTGACGTTGACGCTCACCGTGGCGATGGGGACGGCGTCTGCTCCCAGCACGGCGTCGCCGTTAGCCGCAGCCTGCAGCACGAGCTCCGTCTTGTGCGTGCGGATGTGCTTCTTGCAGTTGACGGACGTCTTGAATGTCTTCTGGCAGTAGGGGCACATGAAGGGCCGGATCTCGCTGTGCGTCGACATGTGTCGCTTCAAGCTGCCGTTAGTGGAGAACGTGTGGTCGCAGACGAGGCACTTGTGCGCCTTCACGCCCGTGTGCGTGCGGATGTGCGACTTGAGCACTCCGCTCGACACGAACGAGCGCTGGCACTGCAGGCAGCGATAAGGTTTCTCTCCCGTGTGGCTGCGAACGTGCTGCTTCATGTGGCTCGACTTCTTGAACCCGCGCGAGCAGTACTGGCACTTGTAAGGGCGGTCGACGCTCGCCGCCTCGCTCAGGTACTGGTTGAAGGGAGCCTGGCTGCTGCGGGGAAGCTGCTGGATGAGACCCGTGTCCGTTATGAGGATCGGCTCCTGCAGCGGGATGTCGGGAAGCTCCGCAGCTTCCTCCTCCAGCATCTTGCGCGGGGATCGCCGCACCTTCCTCTGAGCGTCCGCCTCGCGGAAGTGCGACACAATGTGACTCTTGCGGTGCGCCGACGTGCGGAACTTCTTGTCGCAGTGCGGGCAGTGGAAGGGTTTCGCTCCCGTGTGAAGGCGCGTGTGAACCTTCAGGCTGCCCTGCGTCGCGAACAGCTTGTCACACGTCACACAGCGGAAGTTCTTTGTTCCGGCGTGCGTGTTCGCATGCGCCGTCAGCGTCGACTTGACAGTGAACGCGCGGTAGCACGCGGTGCACTTGTACGGTTTCTCGTGCGTGTGGATGCGGATGTGGCGCACGAGGTCCGACGGTTTCTTGAACTCCTTGCTGCAGTACGCGCACACGTGCCAGCGCACGCCGTCCACCTGCCGCACCTTCAGCTTGCGCATGTGACCCGTCGCCGTGTCCGTCACCGTACTCTCGTCCGGGTTAACGGCGGCGGCGCCCTCGCCCTGCGGCGCCCCCTGATGGGTAATGCCGCTGTTCTCGAGCGCCTGCTGCAGGAGGTCGGCGTTGCTCGCGTCGGCCGTCGCCGCGGCAACCGGCTTCTCGGAGAGTTCCAGCAGCTGCTTGATGACGTCGGAGACCTTCCGCGCGCCGCCGTCGCCGCCGCCCGCGTCCGACTCGCTGCCGCCAGGGGGCGCCGCGCCGTCGACGCCGCCGGTGTGCATGCGGCTCGTGTGCGAGTTGAGACTGCCGAGCTTACGGAACATGCAGCTGCACATGGTGCACTTGTACATGTGCACACCGGGCTCGGTGACGGTCGGGTGCACGCGGTGCATGTGCGCGAGCAGGTTGCCCTTCTGACAGAAGCGGTGCGGACAGAGCTTGCACTTGTAGGGCGTGTCCTTGATGTGCCGACCCTGGATGTGGATCTGCAGCGATCCCTTCTGGTTGAAGGCCTTGTTGCACAGCTGACACACGTACGGCTTCTCTCCTGCCGAGGACAAAGTCACAGACACGGGGTGACCATGAGGCGACCGATCACGGTGATATAAAGCATCTGGGTAACTTATAGAAACATTTAACATTCCAAACGGAAAGCAGTGAAATATTTTCGAGGATTTTGAAGGCTTTTCAAACATTTTCGGCCAAGTGACAAGAGAACTTATAGAGACATTAATAGATAGAGACCTTTAAAATTCCAAACGCAGAAAAATAAAATATTTGTAAGGAAGAAAAGTACGTTATATTTTCGGCTATGCACGACAATATAGTTGGTTATAAGTTTCAAAAATGCTGGTCCATTTACCATTTAAAATGCAGATGAGTAAAATATTTGCAAGTGAAAAAAGGAAATTTTCAGTACGGTCATAAAATATTTTGTTACAAAAGTTATGAGAATGCAGTTCTATTGCGTGCAGCCTATGTGTGGCAGTGCTTAGATCAGCATTATCCGTGGTTACAAATCTCGGTCTCTCACCCGTGTGTATCCTCACGTGTCTCTCCAGCTGGCTGGGCTTGCGAAACGACTTGCTGCAGTACTGGCACTTCTGTGAGCCGGACTGGTCGTACCTCTGCCTGTACTTGTGATGCTGCTGGCGCGGCAGCGCTGCCGACCTCGCCCTGCTAAGTAAGACACGTTAGCTGCTAAGTAAGACACGTTAGCTGCTAAGTAAGACACTTTAGCTGCTAAGTAAGACACGTTAGCTGCTAAGTAAGACACGTTAGCTGCTAAGTAAGACACGTTAGCTGCTACGTGGCGCGTGGCTTCAGACCAGTAGCTGCTCTCAGCTTCATTACGCAGGGCAACACCTACCCTGGTAACCACGATCTTACGGGGAGGAATCTACCCACTCTACTGTGCTTAGCTAAGCTGCAGTTCTTGGTGTTGTATGTAGTTCTATCTCCCTTGCCTACAATGTACACACTACCCCTGCCTACCTTCCCTCTACACTCGTATATCCCACCTCCCCCTTCCCCTACACTGAACACACCAGCCCACCTCCCCCTTCCCCTACACTGAACACACCAGCCCACCTTCCTTCCTTCCTTTCCACACACTGTTCATGCCAGCCCACCTTTCCCTTCCCCTCCACTATAAACATAAGTGAGACCACCCTAGCTCTCTTCAGCTACAGATGAACGCACCTGGCTTGGTGATGCAGCTTGCTATGCTCCCGCACAAGATGGATCTTGTTGAATTCAGCGCCACACTTGCCGCACGTGAACACCTTCTGGTCCATCTCATCGTCCCGATGCTCCTGCATGTGTTTCTTCAGGTGACTCTGCAACACAAGACTGCAGTATTAGCTTTATTATATGGTATTGCAGTATTAGGCCACCTCTACACTGATACCACACCTCTACACTCTACACTGATTTCAAACTCCGCAAAGATGTCGCACGGTTGGCCAATTTTTAAAAACCAATCATAATTTCAATTTTGGTATGCATGTTTGACCACTCAGAAATAACTAGAGAAAACTGCAAATGCTCTGCTGTGTTGGAGTAAAAAATCTAAAAACAACAATAGCACCACGATAACATAAAGAACTAAGAACAACACTTATTCCACCACCTCCAGCAACAACAACAACAACAACAATCTCCACAACAATAAAAAGCAGAAACAAACAACTATCTCAACAACAACACGACCAGCACCAACACAACTAACAACAACAACAGCAACAACAACACCAACATCAACACCAACACCAACACCAACACTACTGCCTCCATCGACAAAAACCACCACCACCACCACCAACAGCAACAACAACAACAACAACAACAACAACAACAATAACAATAACAACAACAACAACAATAACAACAACAACAACAACAACAACAACATCGACGACGACCTCCACCGCCACTCACCTCGAAGAGGAACTCGTCCCCGCACTCGCTGCACATGAGTGTCTCCTCTCTTTCGTGCAGCAGGATGTGAGCCTTCAGACTAGCCATGCGGTTGAAGCGGCGGTGACACTCGGGACACGACGGGCTGTCGGTCGCGTGCGTCGCCATGTGCAGCCTCAGGTTGATCTCGTAGTTGAACGACGCTTCGCAGATGAGACAGGCGTTCGGTTTGTCGCTCTCGTGCGTCTTGCGATGCCGCTGCAGCTGGTTCCACTTAGGGAACTGTCGCTCACACGTGTCACACTTGTACGGTCCCTGCTCGCAGCGAAGAACACGCGACAATTAGACGCAACATACACGAGCACAATTGAGAACTTGAGGCACAAGCAGCAAACGAGATTAATCTAGGCAAAGGCAGGTCAGTCCATACATGAAATAATGTAGGTACGGTTGTGTATAGGCCAAAACAAAATATAGGTGTGGTTACGGTTTCCCTACCGACCCTATTTATTCCCAGCGACCCGAAACATTTTATTGTCAATATTCTTTAAAGTAAAAAAAAATAATACAAATATGAATTGAACAGTTCCTGCTTCAAAAGGCACAACGCACATCCTTCAGACATGGTTCGTAAATAAAATATTTCAAGAAATTAAAATGTTTTCCCTACCTACCTACCATATTTTTTTCCGGCATGTAACGGTAACCACATATATATTTTGTTTTGGCCATATTAATGTATACTATTGACATATAATACAATATATTATGTTCTTGTTACTCTCTGTGAAATCCAAATATGCCTTGCTGCATTGGGAAATAGAAAAGAAATCTGGAAGCAGAATAAGGCGTGAGGCAGGATTACAAACGTGAAGCACGCTCGTATGTGATGCTGTGCACTCTGTTAATACCTTTCTAGGAGGGAGAACGTCAGCCTTATCCACGTTTTCCTTTTCGTTATCTGCTTCCTGAGACTCAGTTCTGAGTTTCTGCTTCACTTCATGAAGATACTGCACTCCAAGCTCCTACAGGTACAACCAGTTTCTGATGTATGGTAATTCCGCTGTTAGACTACGTACCAGCGCTGCTGTACCCTCACACCACTTGCTAACACTCTACGTATAAACGCTTCCGAAAGCTATAGTTTACTCAGTGTGAATGATGGCACGTTATTTACGATCCATGGCTGGACACATGTCCTTAAAGTCAACAAAATCTCGTGCTCGTGATAAAACCGTGTAGAAACTGGTCGAACTTGAACAACATCAAAGCTGAACATATTTATTATCTCACTCAAACTGATGCTGGTGTTCCTCACAGTCAAATGTTCCTCTTTCAAGTCTAAGGTCAAACTTCAGAGAAATCGTCAGCCCTGCATTGCAGTGAGTGACTGACCCCGCACGTACCTTCGTCGTGTTCTCAGCCAGGCAGTCGGCAGAGTTAGAGCCGAGGATCTGCAGGTGAATGCCGGAGACTCCCCCCGCCTGCATCATGTCCGCATCGTCGATGAAGATCGGCTGCACACCCTCCGGTATGCCGTCGCCGTCGACGACCGTGTAGTAGAAGTTCTGCGGCTGCTGCTGCTGCTGGTCGCCGTCGGTAATGGACGCTGATTCGTGGTCCATCTCGGAGAGCGTCTTGATGAAGACGTCGGAGCCCTGCAGCGACGCGTGCTGGAATCCCTCGCCATCCACAGCATCCTCGTCCGTCGCTATCAACTGTCAGAGCGAGAGTTCATGTTAGCGACAAGAAACGAGGAGCACAGACGAGGATGCTGCACTCGGCCACCGCGCGAACGTGTGTACTAAGTTACTAACGCTGCGCACGACTGTACGCAGAACTAAGTAATGCTGTACACGGATATATAGAACATGTATATAGATATAGGTGAACATACGGGCAAAAAATTCACACGAAAGTCTACTAGTCAACAGCTATTAGATTCGCCCACATACTAGCATTGTTCCGCAACAACTTATTCGGTATGTGCTTATCATTTTCCACACAACAGTGGCCCACCCCTGAATCTGCACACAAGCACTTGTAATTGATAGGTGCGCGTAATGCGCATTTCGCTCACGTGGACGGTGGTGCCGTTTGCGCCCTCGACGTCGTACAGCTGCTGGCCTGCCTGCACAAAGACAAGCCGTGTGTTCTGCGGCAGCAGGCTGGTAGTCATGCCACAGACTCCAGACGTGAGTATCTGGTCGGTAATTCCTCCGTTCTCCACAACCTGAATCGGACAGCGTCAGAGAAACAGTAGAGTCTCCTGTTAATACACTGTTACCTCAATTGATTTAACAATCTTTACAACAGCATCAAAGTTGGCAAATTTGTTAAACCTTGTGCATTATTAACAAGATTATCATCACTTCTTATTAGTGTTATAAAAGATATACCAATAGCAAAGATCTACAATTTCTAAATCATGAGAATTGGCCTACTTCAATAGCTCCAACCTGTCAAAACTCCAATGTTATTAGTTCATGGTTAAGAGAATGTGGATTTTTATGGCAAAAAAATTATCAATTACCAAGGCAGTATTCAGAAAATGATTATGCTTTTGTTTGATACATAAAAAATTATGAGAAACAATTTGTGTAACCTGGTGTAGTTGATGTTGTGGTGCCTCCTCAGTTTCCAAAACATGCAGGGGGATGTAGCCATGATCTTCCTCCATACTTGTCGGTGTATTACCAAGCCGATCAGATAGTGATGTATAAGACAGTTGGAACTGCAAGAGAGGAAAGAAAGATTGGATTCGACAGTCAAGTGTTTGGGCAGGAATACTGCTTGGCACTTGCAATACTTACAGCGATAGTATATATTTTGTCTCCACATGTCACATGGTATCTGTGACATAGAATACGCAGATACGCCAATAACATTGTGATTAGTGCTGTAATGCCTCCACGTGCGGAAATACATAGTTCCCACTAACTGGCGCTGCTGCAGCGCCACCAAAAATGGCCGTTTGAAGTTCGTAAATAATGTTTATTCACAAGAAATATCGCAAGTAGACCATTGCAACGATAGTTAGAGGTTAAGTTTTAGTAGCGGATATAACTTCAGACATATTTACTTCGGATAAGAGGCATTAATTGCCTACAACGGACGTTTTATAGCCGCGAGTAAGCATGACTAAGTTGGTCCCGCGCATCCGTAATGGAAGATCCTATAGCCCTGTGGCAACCATACGCGGGCTATAGTTACTAGAGCTAACTGCAAGTATTCTCACAGTAGATGTATGTAGGCTTTTGTTGCGAGGTTTATCCATTTTAAAGGTGTTTGCAAAATAAGGTCAAAGAAAACATAGTTTACAGTAGTCAGACTTGAAAAACTAGAATGTACACTGATAATTCTTGAAAATTAGTTTCAAGTCTGTGGAAAAAATAGCTCTCGTCGATAATTTTACGGGAGATATTTTTAGCAGAGTGGCTATATGCCCGGCAGCCGGCATATATCTGACGACTGCCGGGCACGGTCTTCGATTTCCTAAATGCCCGGCAGTTTTTAATTTTCAGCGTTATCTCAAGTAAACAAGGGTTAGGGTTAGGGTTACATCACGACATAAAAATCACGCAAACTTCGCTACAAACAAAACTGGCAATCTTGCATTGAACCGCACAACGACATTTCTCATCGGCCAATGAAATCATCGCTGTCCGGTGCGGTTCAATGCAAGATTGCCAGTTTTGTTTGTAGCAAAGTTTGCGTGATTTTTATGTCGTGATGTTTTAATAAAATAAACGTGATTAAAGAGGAGAATACTGCATGACAAGTGTTTTGTAATGTTGGTAAGATGTTAATAAAGCGACGGCTTTAGGTATTTCTTTGATTTTCTATGTAACACGGCCGTAAATAGTGAAAAGGTTGTCGTGCATTTTGCACGACAAAATTCAAAAGGTTATGTCTATGGAAGGCCTATTGCCAGTATTGCCTACTATTGGGCCCTAAAATAACATCAGAATAAAAAAAATTTTAGGACACAATTTATTGGTCTAATCGCTCCCGTGTATTTTTTACCCTGTTCTTGACCCATTGTAGCTACCAATTTGTCGTAGTTTTGAATAGGTATATCTATTACGTGTTATAATATTCATTATTTTTATCATCAAAGCTGAACTGTGAACATGATGATGTCAGAATTATGAGTCAGAATAGAATAGCCTTGTTTTAGCCTATAGTAAACATGCTAAGTACACACTCACCCCTTACGCTAAACACGATTGAACTTTACTACATGTAAGTAGTAACACATGTATACTTATATTTGCCATCTAAATACACAAATAATTTTGTTGTACTAAAGCAATTCCAGTTCAGGAATCGCTTAGCGACGAGAAACTAAAAACTTTTGACTCGATCGCAGCCATCTTTGTTTGCGCTGCAAACACTCAATCGGATGCCCTTTCTGCAGCTCACAACGTATACCATACGGTCTAAGCACATGCTCGTGCCTTGTGTCGTTTCCTTGGATCAGTTCTGTATCATCTGTCATTAATACTAGCACTGGACCCTTTCTTAGCATCGGCTTCTCACAGGTCAGTATAAAATAGATGCCTGTACTTTCGGCAGAACGAGTAACGAATCTAAATGTCCATGTTAGGGATGTTGTTACGTAGTAGTACTAGTACGTAGTAGTACTAGTACTAGTAGTAGTAGTAGTTGAACATTGTCAATGTGCTGTGAGTGTGACTGACTCACACAGTCACGGTGACAGTGTGAGAATAATACACGGTCACTGGTATATATATAATATATATGCATAATATATATAATAATATATATATATATAGGTGTAATATATTGGATATTGCAGATATATATATATATTATATTTAGATTGATGAGTTTATCTTTCTGCTGTCGTTCGACAAGGTCATTTCCTCGATATGATCGATATGTTGATAAATATGTACACCAAAATTTTTTTAAATGCTTTACGATCTTAGATAGAAATAAATACAATATGTGACTGACGTGACACACCTCAAAAATTCTGACTGACGTGACAGTTTTCAGTAGCATACTGTGTCCTGTCCTGATCAGAATTAAAGCTTTTGTTTATTAATTCTGGTAGCTTATGGTCATTACTAAGAAAATCATGAGTATCTTCAAAAATGATAAAGGTGTAGGTCAGATATGGAGAAAATTATAACTTTTCGTGACTGAGGTGACACTAAATTAGCATGCTCACTACGCCAGTTATTTTTCTTACAGTGTTTGAAAGCACTCTAGGCACAAAATTTGTAATAAATTTTTTTTACATTTAAATGAATTACGGTGAAATTCGAAAATCAACACTGCCATGTTAGTAAAAAGTTGTTTTCAAATAACTTAAATAAGTTCTGCATTACAATACATCTTGTCCTGAAACTATTGAATTATTTAATTATTTATATAGTCCCTCCACGTGGAATT